AGTGGCATCTGCTTGGGTCAGCCAGATGTAAAGGGGTCCACTCGTTCGCATCATCACATGTTCCATCTTACAGCCACAGAGGGACTGGATACTTTTCTGGATCTAGTTGGGAAGATACCAGGGAACAGACCGAAATGCTCGTTTTAGTCACGTTCTTTGTGAGAAAACCAGGCTTTTAGAGGATCGTGATCCTCTAAGAATATTCTAAACCTCGGTCACATTGTTGGAGCATAAGGCCAAGTCATGGTACCCGCCATGCTGGGTCTGGCCTTTTGAAGTTTCTCTTGCTGTATCTCTTCAGGATAGGTTATTTATTTGACATGTACATATTCACTGTCACTGTCACTTTCCTCCCGTTGTTCATCAATTTGCTCGAGCAGGCCCAGTAACGTCTCCATGTGAGAATTTGTTGTTATTGTTTTTGGCATATCGAATACGTCACGGGTAGCTTGCCAGGCTTTGGGCGAGATACTCTCTGTAGCTTGCTGGGCTCTCTGAGAGGGGCGGAGGAATCGAACTCGGGTTGGCCATGTTGGCCGCTTACAAGGCAAAAGCCCTACCTGCTGTGCTATCGCTCCAGCCCATGTACATATTCATCCACCAAATATTTATCTAACCAAAGTAGAGCCTATACTGCGGGGAAACTCAGTATCAGCTAGCAGCAAACCTTTCAGGTCTGTTTTTCACAGGAGAGAGAGAAGGAACGATTTTAATTGAAAAACATAACTTTTGGTGGAGGGGGTCCTACTGAAGCATTGATCTTTCATAAAGTCTTTCCCTGAACCCTGATCTCCAAAACCCTGACCTCCTACAGTTCAACTCTGTGAGCCGTTCTCTCTCCTAGATGAGTTTCATAGGAGTCAGAGTCCCAATGTCAAGTTGGAGTTCTGTGGTCGCCCTCTCCTTTCCCTGTTCCTCTACTCTCCAGAGATCTGCCTTGGTGTCTCAGTCAGGTTGTGTGTGTATCAATTTCAGGGTCACCAGGTGGAAACTGATAGCACAACTTAAATGATTTATCATTGAAGATGCTTCAGTAAAGGAACTGGTTGTAAAGGTGTCAGGGTTAAGGAAGTGCCAAGTCACAGGGGTGCCAGGGACTGCCCAAGATGTCACTTCAGGAGAAAGCTGCTTATACTCCTTCCTGTCCACTAAAAGTCAGGGGAGAGAGATGAAGCTGGAAGCCGTGAACTGTGACCTTCAGTACAGACAGACAGTAACCCCAAACTCCAGTTTGAAGGGCTTCCCATCTCTTCTCCAGCTCTAGAATGTTTTGCTGGTTTCCAGGTGGCCAAACCTAATAGAGTCCTTAGACATCAGTCTCCTGAGGAACAGAACTGGGCCATTGGGGCCAGTGAACTATCTTGGACAATCTGTGGAACAATGACCAACATATGGGACATATTCCAATAAATAGGTAGCAGACATGTCGGAAAGAGGGATAATTATTTAGTTTGCCAGCAAGCCTCCAAAAGGTTCTGGAGGAATGTAACCGTCTCCTCATATAAGTTAGCAAACATTCACTTAAGAAGCTAATAGAGGTGCTGGAGCAATAATATAGCTATTGCCTTGTAGTACAGCATTTGCCTTGCATGCGGCCAACCCGGGTTTGATTCCCAGCATCCCATATGGTCCCCCATGCGCCGCCAGGAGTCATTCCTGAGTGCAGAGCCAGGAGTAAACCCCGTGCATCGCTGGGTGTGACCCATAAAGAAAAAGAAGCCAGTAGAAAAATGGGGAAAAATCTAAACATTGCCTGGGCATGCCTTTGTGGAATCCCAAAATCACACCACTTGGATATAAAAAGTCCCGCCCAGCACCTCGATAACCTGGGAACTGACCTCGACTTCTCTGGAGAGGGTAATTCTTCTATTACCATTCTCCATGCTGATGCTCTCTGCAGATGCCCTAGATTCAGCAAAGTGAAGTAGGGGGATGGGTGGAGCCCCCAGACAGGCACTGGGAGGCGGCCATCCTGACCCTGCCCCCTCGCTGGTTAATCTTGGACACTAGACCTCTTCCCTGCTCTGAGACCCGTGGTTCTAAGTTCTTAAACACAGGGTTGAATTACACTGAAGCTACTCCAGAAATTTCGAAAGAGTGCCAAGTATCACTGAGAGGGGGTCAGGTGTATCACTGAATCTGGGGTGAGGACAACTTCCACCAGTTTCGTTTTTGCAGGACTGACTTGTCCATGTCTTACATCTGTTCTTCTGAGATGCAGATTTTTCAGTAGAGGTAAACAGGAGTAACATTCACTTAATCTTTCCACAAGAAAAGTGTCATCCTTCCCACCAGGAAACATGTGGCAGTCGTCATCCTAGAACTTCTGCAACTGTGCTGGGTTGGATGAATTCTAAGGCTGTCCCCGCCCAGAAGCTCCTGGGGTTTTGTGCAGTGCCCTGGGCACCTCCTTTCTTCCTTCCGCCCCTTCCTTGGGGGTGAGAATCCCCTGTACCTTGTTCTCAGGGAACCACAAGCCTGAAGCTGTCCCTGAAATAAATCACCTAAAGTTACAGGAACCCTCCGGAAATGCAAATGGAAAACACAGAACGAAAATGCAAATACAGAATGCAAACACACTCCCCGCCAGCCTACCCCATGCTGTGCTCAAAGCACAGACCCAAGCCCCACCAGAAGGGCTTGCAAAACAAGTGCTAGCTAGTGTGTATAGGGGGTGGGGGGTGGGGGGCATACAAAGGAGAGCCTACTCTTTTCTACTCTTTTCGACTTCAGACGGGCTGAGATGCTTGTGTGCCCTTGGGCCTCAGCCCAGATCTCTTCTCTCATCTGCCTCAGTCCTGGTACTAAATTGGTTCAAGGTTTGGAGGAGAGCTTAAGAGGAAAGGATGTTTTGAGTGCTTAAATGCTGAAGTCACCCTAAGGACCCGCGCATAGAACCCTTCTGACCACCAGGGGGCGATGGTAATAGCCTCTGCACTGAGAGCCTCTCCCGGGAAGGGACTAGCAGCGCCTAATGTGTTTACGATCGAGGGACCGGCCCACGAAGGTGTGCTTGTGTGTGTGGGTGGCTACACACACATACAGTTGGGTGCCTGGAGCAAAACATGTTGAAAATCTGCTCTAAGTGCCAGAAAATAAAACCTGCACCTAGCTCTACCATATACTCACAGAACGTAGACGCAGAGTGAACACTGACTTGAAGGAAAATGAGGGAGAAAGATCCAGAAGGACAGTTACATGACAGAAAAGAGGCTCTGGGAGCAGATTCGTGGGATGGTGTGTGTGTGTGTGTGTGTGTGTGTGTGTGTGTGTGTGTGCGCACGTGCATGAATGGCACATATGTGTGTGACTGAGAATAGGTATAGTTATGCTTTCAGGATATGAGTCTGAGTGCATTTGTGTGCATACAAGTGTGTGTGTGTGTTTGTGTGTGTGTGTGTGTGGTATGATGTGTGCACGCACGTGAAGTGTGTATGTGCAGCACTCAATCAGACCTCCCCAGTGCGAGCAGACCTCAAGGAAGTCTGGGTGATACTTCCCCTAGTTCCTGCCCTCTCCTTCCAAACAAACAAACAAAATCATCCCTACAGGTATTTATGGACCCGCTAACTCGCGCCCTCCCCATCAGCATCTGGAAAAGCTCAGACCTGGCCTTTAGAAGGGGCACTGGAGGAAGGTAGGACGGGGGGCAGGACAGGGGGAGCATGCCATTGATGCTGGGAGAAACACCTCCTTGTCTTTGATTCCCCAGACCATGCTGAATGGGGTCCCAACCTGAAAGAACCAAAGCTCGGAGGTGATGGGACTGGCCCAGCAGACAAAGCAGCAGCTCAAAGGACCACTGGGCCAGTTGTCAGCCCGGAGGTCCATTTTGCTGTCCCCACGACTGTTAGAAGCATGCCAGGCCATGGGTCCGAGCAAAGCCGCCCAGCCTCTGGCCAGCAACCCGAACACCAGGCAAGACCTCGTTTGCTGTGGACATCCCTGCAGCAGGTCCTGGCTAGAGTGGCCACAAGGAGGTCGGAGGCTGTAGTGTAAACACTGGGCCAACCAAGGTGTCTCCGTGGCATGGTTTGGGGGTCCACGGGGCAGCCAGTCGTGTGACCTCAGGCAAGTGACCTCTCTTATCTGGACTTTTGTTTTTTCCAATTTTTCTTAACCTGTGAAGTTAGGATGGTCCCATGCGCGACCCCTTGCAGAACTGCACAGCGACTGGAAGAGAGGCGATGAGCAGAGGACCCAGCCGGGTGCGGGAACACAGGAAAGGTACCAGCATCCCCACGGGCGCGGCGCGCCGGGCGTCGGGGGGTGAAGGCGCCCGAGTTCTGGGCGCAGCAGGCTTCCCGAGGTTTCCGAGGTTTCCTCCCCTCTGCCTCCGCGCTCTGCGCCCTCCCTCCCTCCCTCCGACTCTCCGTCGCTCCAGCAAAGTTCCCAACTTAGTCGACACGACTCGCGGCTCAGCCAATGGGAGGCGGAGCTGCCGTGTATGTGTGAGTGTGTGTGTGCGCGCGCGTGTGTGTGTGTGTGTGTGTGTGTTTCCTTTTTTTTTTTTCGTGGGGGGTGGCGGTGGTGCTGGTGCCGGTGCTGGTGAGCCGGGAGGGGGTGGGCCCCGCGTCTCCGGAGTCGGCCCCGCTCGGTGAATGGAGAGAGCCCGCGCCGGCCCGCTGCCCCCGCCGCGCTCCCGAGCGCCGTCGCCAGCCGGACCTCCCCGGGCGCCGGGCCCCACCGCGCGCGCCCCAGCTGCCCGCCGCGGGCGCCGGCCGGCCGGGCCAGGGGGCGCTCGGCACCTGGGCACCCCGAGCGATGCGCCGCGGGGCAGCAGCGCCCGCCCCGCCGATGGAGCTGCCGCCGCCGCCGCCGCCGCCGCCGCCCGGCGCGCCCCGCGCCGCCCGCGCCCCGAGCGCCTGAGCGCGCCGCCCGCCGCCGCTCCTCCTCCCGCCGCCGCTCGTCCGCGCCGGCGACTCGGACGCCCACCCGGCGGGCCGCCCGCGCCCCCCGCGCGCCCCCCGGGCCCCGCCGAGGCCGCCTGGCTCGCGCGCGGGCCCCCGCGCACCATGGGCCCCGGGCGCACCGGGGCCGGAGCCGCGCTGCGCGCCCGCCTGGCGCTGGCCTTGGCGCTGGCGAGCGTCCTGAGCGGGCCCCCCGCCGCCGCCTGCCCCACCAAGTGTACCTGCTCCGCCGCCAGCGTGGACTGCCACGGGCTGGGCCTCCGGGCGGTGCCTCGGGGCATCCCCCGCAACGCCGAGCGCCTGTGAGTACCACCTCCGCGCCCCCCCCCCCCCCCCCACCTCGCCTCTCTCTGTCTCTCTCTCTCCGGGCCACCCACCTGGGTGCCCCCCTCTCTCCAGACGCCAGAGCCTGCGGCTTCCTCGCCTCCGCTCCATCAGTCGCCCGGGAGTTGGTGGTAGTGATGGGGGAAGTAGGTAGGGGGTCTGGTCTTGGGTAGGTTAGCGGGGTGGGGGCAGGTCTAGAAGCCCCCACCCCGCTCCCTGTGATGGATAGAGCGCATCGCCTCTCGGGCCAAACGCAGGGCCCGCTGACAGCTTCCAAGGAGAGGGCTGGCAGGAGGCGACGGGAGGGAAAGCTGCAGCCGGGAGGCCTGAAGGGTGCCCGGGAGGGGTCCGCGGGCTCGTGTACACGGGGGGGGGGGGGGGGGAGCAAGAAAGCCCAGGAATGATGATGGGGCGTCAGGGCGGGGAGCGGACAGAGCGGGCTGGAGACTGTCACCCGCTTGGAGATCAGAACGGGGCCGTCGGCGCCCTCGCTGCCAGTGCAGGAAAAGTTGAGTGTGTCCGGAGGTCTAACTTCTGGAGGAACCCAGCGGCGTCAGAGTGGGTGCCTGCACTAAATAAATAACATAAGATTAAAAAGAAAAAAAAAGCGTGCTTGGAGCGCAGCCTCGGAGATGATGCCCAAGTTGCAGCCCCGGTGAAAAAAAAAATTTTTTTTATGGCGTGATTATAAATGCCTCCCCCCCCAAAGGTCCAGAGAATGGAAATGCTGACAGCCCTTTCAATGAGACCGAGGGCTATAATCTTACAAACCGCACTCAGCCTCAGGATCTGGGGCTTGGCAACAGGAAGAGAGGCACTTGGAGAGTGGGGTGGATTGACACTCGTTTTAACCCCAATTGTGCAACCAAATATTTACTTTTCATATGTCAACGTTTTTGGAAACATTCACCATTTTGATCCTCGGACCAAATTCAAAAACTTGGACTCCGGGGTGGGCTCTTCCTGAACTATCATTGGTGGGGGGAGGGGAGAGGAAAAGGGGGTTCTCTCTAGCCTGGGAACACAGCCCAGAGAGGGTGAGGGTTTGCTCTGGTGGGTAGGCTCCCAGTCCCAACCTCCATGTAGTCACAGAGTGGGTGCCTGCATCTTGGAACTGTGCCCTCTGTTTGGGGCCAGAGCAGAGTGGCCTTGAGACCAGAGGAACTGTCCAGAAGTGGGTTAATCCAGTTAATCACCTGTTAAAACCCTTTCTTATTCCTCAGGTGTTTCTTGGACTAAATCATTCTCTCTTCCCTTCTGGAATTTGTCTTTGGCTCCTGAAACATTTTTTTTCCCTCCCCCTAAGTGCGGCGCTTACTCTGTGGAATCCAACGGTGTCGTTCTCCAGGGTTCGAGCCGAACCTCGCGTTGCCAATTCAGAAAGGGGAAATGACTGGCTGCAGGTTAGTGGCCCTAGAAGGGTTGGCCACCAGATTGCTACAACTTCATCCAGATGCGATTTTTCCACTCTCCCAGTGAGCAGCTGGTTCGGCGGTATTTTTTTGGGATGCCTACATTCCGTTTTCTCCTCACACCCCGTTTGGCTTTACGACTTGGTCAGATGCTGCTTTCTGGCCTCACCTGGGTCAGCTCATTGAATCTCTCCAACTGTCTTCCTAGTTTCTAGGGGATGCTTGTCGGTCACTTGACAGTGAAATCATCCTGTCATTTGTTCAAGGTCAGGTTGCTGGCTAAGCATTCGAATCGGAGCTTCCTGGCGCCTGTGTCCACACCCCCTCCCACCCTACCAGGCATTCTTGGAAGAAGGGTCAATTTGGGCCACAATCTCGAAACAGATGGCCCTGGGAAGGTTCTAGCAGAGCTTGGGCCTCGCTGCACACTGCTTTGGCTGCTAGCACAGAGACGTGGAGCAAATGCGGGCTTTGCCTTGACATTCACACTCTCCGCTGTGAGGTCTGGAATCCCCCTGCCTCCCATCTTCAAAATCGTCTTGATCGTTTGGGAGACGGGGGGGGGGGGGGGGGGGGAGGGGGGGGGCGGACCTTTCCATTTCTGGCACGAAAAAGTCCTCTAGCCCTGCTGCCAGCTTGCCACCTGGCCATCACCTCTCCAAGGAGGCCTGGAAAGCTTGGGAATGCCCATCTGTTCTATCACGGGGGGAAACAGTGGACAGTGGCACCCGGGGTACTGCCACGGGCTCCCTGCTGTAGTCATGGGAATTGGCACTGTAGCACTGTCCTCCCGTTGTTCATCGATTTGCTCGAGCGGGCACCAGTAACGTCTCCATTGTGAGACTTGTCGTTACTGCTTTTGGCATATCGAATACACCACGGGGAGCTTGCCAGACTGCCGTGCGGCGGGATACTCTCGGTAGCATGCCGGGCTCTCCGAGAGGGAAGAAGGAATCGAACCTGGGTCGGCTGTGTGCAAGGCAAAGGCCCTACCTGGTGTGCTATCGCTCCAGCCCGTGGGAATTGGCAAAATCAGAAATCTTTGAGAATAAGAATCTCACGCACCTTAGTTTTGCTCACTGGTGCTACTTCTATTGCGGGGGTGGTGATGGCCAGCCCCTTTTGCTCATCTCATTCCTGCAGGGAAGAGGGGACATGCCGGGTGGGGGTGATTGCAGGGTGAAGGCAGGCCCCCCACTAATTTTTCCCACCTACACCCTATCTTGGTTCACTCAGTTGGAACGTTTCAATCTCCCAAACCCTTGGGGACTATTTGGCATTTCTAAGATATTCCAGGCATTTCTTTCGGGAGGAATTTCTCATTTATACCTCCCTTCATTCATTCAACAAACATTATTGAAGCCCCTGCTGCATTCCAGTGACCGTATATAAAACCACTGCGTATACAGGAGAAACCCAGTGCTTTCAGCTTAAAGAATGTAAGCAAAGGATGGAAAGACACTTCGGCTTGGAGCCTCCTCTACTTCCAAGGGGCTCATTTTTCCTGGCCCAGGGTTTTTAGCACTGCCACTTGCTTTAGACCCTCTGCAAGTCCAGTTTTCTGATACCAAGTGTTTTAAGTTGTGTGTTTGTAATCAAGAAGCAGCTTTTCCCCCATTTTCTCCCTCTTCATTCCTGCTCCTCTACCTTCCAAAGAGAGGGTGTGTGTGTGTGTGTGTGTGTGTGTGTGTGTGTGTGTGTGTGGTGGAGCGGGGAGGTGGTTCTTTTTCTCTGGGCATCTTTTGACTTCAGAGACCTCATCTCGTGGAATTACATTAAGAACTTTGCATGGGGGATGGTACGGGGACCGTTTGGACTTTGCCTGGAATGGGGTCTTTGAAATTGAGTTCACCCTTAAGCTGGTATCTGAGCTTGGGGGTCTGTGTTCCAGCTTCTTCCTTACAACGTCAGCACCCCCAGAGAAAGAGAAACGCTGTCACTTATAAACTACCCGCAGTTCTCTCTCCCCTGCCCGAGGTGACACCCCAAGAAAGCAAAATAAACGCTGAGGCACAGGACTCGGTATAATTTATTATTGGAGCAGCACAGATAGAGGACAAGAGGAGAGGAAATGAATGGTGGTGTCTGAAATAAAACATTTACCATGGAGCCCAGAGTAAACAGATGTCGCGTTTACCCTTTTGAGTACAAAAGGAGCCCACAGCTGTAATTCCTCTCTAACCACGATCTTGGCCTGGAGAAGGAGATGAAAACGAGGTCTCATGTGGGGGCCCCTGCTCCCTGTCCTGCCTTCAGGCAGGAGGAGACCCACTTCTCACCCATGGCGACGTGCTGGCCTCAAGTGCAGGGACGGGGCAAGGGTGGACATCTTTGGTCTTTTTTTTTTTTTTTTTGCTTGGCTCCAGAACTTGCTGGAGACTGCTGTATTTAAATAAACATTTCCTGTTTGCGAAGGAAAACGGGCGAAGGGCTGAAACGTGAGAATGTGGTAACTTAATTTTCTCCGTCACTCCAGATGACGGCAAGCTTCGCCGGTGGTGGGGTCCAATAAAAACCAACACTGTGTCACAGGCTTTCCCTCGCTTGACCACAGAGGTCCAGAGGTCAAGTCGGAAACTTTCCAAGACACTCAGAGGCGGAGGCTGGTGTCCTGGTACTCCCAGCCCTCAGGGGCAAGCCCGTGAGTCATTAGGCCTCTGGGGCTCACTCTGGGGGTATTGCCCTTTGGGGGAAAAAACTCAGTGTTCTCCTGGAAGTCTTTGGGGCAGGATGTGGACAGCTGAGCCCCCCTACCCCCCAACCTCTGGGACACCCACCAACCTGACTTCTCTTGACCTCATTTTCCTGCAAGTAGAACGAACTCTAACTCTTTGAGTACTTTTCTGACCTGGCCTGCGGTTTGCTGGAGAACTGTTATGTTCTCCTGTGCCTAGAAAAAAAAATTGCTTAGCATATAGTTGGTTCTCAGCAAGTGTGTGTGGACTGAAAGAATGAGTCTCAAAAATGTAAGTCTCTCCTTAGATTTTTTTTTTTTTGCTTTTTGGGTCACATCCAGCGATGCTCAGGGGTTACTCCTGGTTCATGCACTCAGGAATTACTCCTGGTGGTGCTCAGGGAACATATGGGATGCTGGGAATCGAACCCAGGTTGACTGTGTACAAGGCAAACGCCCTACCTGCTGTGCTATTGCTCCAGCCCCTCTTGTTAGATTTTTTGGGGGGAGTCACACCCAGCGGTGCTCAGGGGTCCATCCTGGCTCTGCACTGGGGAATTACTCTAGTGGTGCTCAGTGGACCCTATGGGATGCCGGGAATCAAACCTACGTGGACCACGTACAAGGCAAACGCCCTCTCCGCTGTACTATCACCCAGGCCACTTCTCATTAGATCTTAGAAAGCAAAACGGGCAACTCTGGTTTTCCAGTTCTACACAGGGCTCCAGGCTACTTCCCCGGAGCGTCTTCCATGAGTTACTGAGGGTTTCTCAATTGTGGACTGAAATGATTTTTACCTTCATCCTCATCAGGACTCCTAAGGGGTGAGCCACTCTGGAATCCGGTTGCCAAGCCCCGCGTAGCAACCTCCCCAAAACTCCTACTGCGTACA